ATAATCTCAAAATTCTATTTCAATTCAAGCACATCACAACATTCTAACAAGTTGCTTATTATGACTATAAAAAACACTCGTTTTATTTCCCATCTGACTGTAATTGATGCATAACACTCCAATTATTATTTCTGAATGTACATTATCCTATATTGATTTGCTGTAGGCTGGATGTCTTGAAGTGCTGATAAGAATTTTTGACCAGTGAGTTTCATCTTAATAAGGTGTAGAGAATGTTCATTTTTCTCGCAGCATCAGCTTTTGGTAACGCTTTTCATAGGCCATTCAACTCCAGAATACAAGCTTCATGGTTAACAACTCGCCCTCACAGCCTGAGAGGCTTGACTGCACACCCCTGAAGAGTACCGAACCACTATGAAACTGCTATATCGTTTCTGTCTAGTTTTTTATAGTACTTTCTAATTGATGTGACTTCATATCTGAGCTTCCATTGAAGGGAAGACCTGGCATTTAAAACTTTTTAACAGTCCACACCTGTTATCCCTCATATTGTGAAAAAAGTAGTCAGATTTTGAAATGACTTGAAGAATTTATAGCTGCGAGTTTAATGATCAAAGTCTTAATGCATTGTTGATATAAGTATAAAACGTGGGCAATGTGGTAGAGTATAAGCCATTATGGATAAATTTTTATTTTGATAAATCACACAGTGTTGTACAGTAATACTAACTGATGACCACGTTTCGAGCACAAACTATTACTGCTCATAATCATATCAAGTTACTCACACAACTTTGTTCTTTCATTTATATACATGTGTGGAATCGATTAGATATTGGATTTAAAATCAATGTGAGATAATGTACATTCAGAAATAATAATTGGAGTGTTATGCATCAATTACAGTCAGATGGGAAATAAAACGAGTGTTTTTTATAGTCATAATAAGCAACTTGTTAGAATATTGTGATGTGCTTGAATTGAAATAGAATTTTGAGATTATTTATTATCCTCTTCTGATTTGACTGACTGGCGGTAATAATATCTTCCAAATTTCTGGTATTTGCATTGAGTCATTTCTGTTGCGTGTGTTGGGTGTAGACTCGATGATTAAGGATTCAGTAATCAACCTCTCTCTCTACCTACCTAGATAACTTTTTAGAATTTTAACCCTATGCCACTCTATTGTGTGGTTGTTTGCATTCTCTGAGGTAGACACTTTGGTTTTCCGGACAACATCTACAGCGGTCAAGTGATCTTGCAGTAAGTAAGAGTTGAAGAGGTTAGTCAAGGTATTCTCAGCTCAGGGAATGCAATATATCACCAAACATGATCAGATAATCAGGCAAGCAGACAATCATTTAGACACTCACTACATAAGGATTTTTCACATCTGCGAATCTCCAAAGTATTGCGACTACGATTCTAGTATTAGTATTGATTATTTGACTTCATGGACCTCAACAGGTTCTGTCGTGTTTTGAAAGTCTTGATGACTGATTGCTTGATTCCATATTAGTTTGTTTATAAGATGTACCACACAGTGATGAAACAGTATTATTTACTGGATGACAAGTTTTTGAACAAAACTTATAGTTCATAATGATATCAATTATAAACACTAGTGTTTATAGAAAACCCACATATTCAAACAGTTATTTGGATTTCCGATCACTCCATCCTATATCACTGAAAATGGGATTGGCGAAATGTTTAGGTGACAGAGCACATAAACCAAGTAGTACCAAGGGAAACCTAAAACTGGAATTTACTCGTATAAGAGAAGTCCTGAAACTTAATAATTACCCTGATAAATTAGTCAAGAAATATGTAGGAAAATGTAAAAATAAAATAAATAATGATAGTAGTGATAGTGATAATAATGGTAATAATAATATTAATGATGACATGCATGTCAAACATGCGCAAGACAGCACCAACAAGGAGGAATCTAAATCATCAGTAGTAATTCCATACCAGGAAGGAACCTCGGAAACCTTACGAAGAATTCTTAGCAAGGCAGGAATAAAAGTGAGTGGCTTTCACACCACCCACAAAATCAATTAGAAACAAGTTAAAGAATCAGTCCTGTGGAGCCTTTAAAACAAAACAATTTAGTTTATCTAATACCCTGCCTGCAATGATTATCAGATCAAATACAAAGGTCAAAGTAGTAGAACAGGGTCAGTTAGTCAAACTAGTGGAGCATAAAATCCTAACAAAATCTAGATTGGTTGATCCCAATAATAAGATAAGGAATCTAGAGAATAGTTCAGCCGTAGCACTCACTACATGCCATTACACACAATCATACAATAAAATTGATGGGATAAGATGACAGTTTTAAAATCTAATGTCACAGGGGCATAGGATGAGATTGATAACAGAAGCTATGTTTATCAAATCAACTGCAATTACATGTAATAGGAATTATTTAACACCTGTCCATTCAGATATCCGCAAAATTCCACTACCACTATGATGACAAATAGGCGAGAACAAAGATAACTATAAATCTCAAGTTTCGAAGTTGTGTGATTATAATTGATGATACGACTATGAACAATAAATTTTGTCCGAGACCTTGTCATCCAGTAAATAATACCGTTTCACTGTGTGATACATCTAATAAACAAACTAATATGAAATTAATTTACTACCCCAGAGCCCAAGTTTTATACATATGAAGACTGATTACTTATGAACACGGGATTGATATATTCACACAGAATGCTCTTAGATACAGATACGAAAACTTATTTTTGCATCAGTTGAATATCTTTTTAGTAGTATGGCTCAGTTTCGCTCAGGCAATTGTCACACTCTTAGGTTATATATTACTAGGCTGTGGAATCATGAACTTTAAGTTTCACAGAAGTTTCTAGAAAAGCAGTGATAATTGACGTAAGTAGTCTCCAACTACTCATACTGATGAATCAGTAGTATGTAATTGCGTCATGCACTTGTGCTGGCTTTTTTTTTATTCCAGTTCATGGCATCAAGAGGGTCAAATACTTTCATCTGCAGCATTTCGGTTACCAGAAGATACTTGAACTGTTTTATTTGCAAAATAGCGAATTAATTTGTGTATTACGTATTCAATTTCACTGACTGACTGACTGATTTCAGCGTAGAATCTGGCACCGATGTGCACCTGTTCGAGTTTCCACACTCCCTCCATGTAGCACACAAAGCAAGAGAAGGAATTGAAAAGAAATGCAAAATAGAGACAGTAAACAGAGATATGCGGCAAAAAGAATAATATTATCGAAGAACAATATAGTTTTGTTTGTTATTGTAAGACACAAGGAGTGAATGCATCTGCGCCAGCCATTGACAAGGATTTTTAGCCATATCACCGATAATTTTCTCCAGCCTTCATTGGTTCTTACCATCCCGTGGACCCTAGCCAAGAAGTCTAACCCTCCCTACATGGCCTAAAATAACTATTGTGAACTTCACTGGCTGATGAAACCATATTTTGTTTTGACCACCACCGGCTCTTTTCCAACCTGACCCTATGTCAGCTAACATTGACCGTTTTCGGACGAAGGCGATGGATAGACGGGCACACGAAACACATGTCCTAACCATCTAAGTCGATGTAACTTTACAACCTCGTCGATTGATTTCCCTCCTTACTTAGCACCTAACTGAAGCCTAGCCTCAGTATTGCTCATTTTATTACACTACTTAACACGGGATATACCTCTTCTCCAAAAGTAGCTAGCCAACTAGAATTCAGGTGGTTTCAACTTTTTTTGTTCTCTTCACACTAGTACTGTCCTCTTCAGTACCGGTGAGCCTTAGATATCTTACACTGTTTCCCTCGTCTGTAGTTGATAATTAATTATCCCGGTCACTTATATATATCGGTTTAAACAACTCGTATTCTGGCTATTCACTTGGTTGATTCGCCACTTGACAATTTTGCAGTTCGAGATGAAAATTCAACACAGTTTCCTTTAGAAACCGAAATATTTTGGTTTTACTTGAAAGTTCGAGATCATTCATGTCAAGCAGCAGTGTTAGCCCTTCAAATTATCTAGCTTGAAGTCGAGGAAAATTTCACACTAGGATCTGGATACATCAGGCTCTTCAAGGGAAGTTGTAGTAAATTTCTGCCTAGAATGCTGTCTGTCTGTTTTTGACATAGAACTTTGAACCGATGTGTAGCAGTTCAAGTCGCCACACTCCCTCCTTGTAGCACACAAAGAAAGAGGAGAATAAAGTAAAAAAGGGACGCAAAACAGAGACAGTAAACAGAGGTGTGATACAAAGGAATAGTAGTAACGAAGAACAATATAGTTTCATTGGAAATCATAAGTCACAAGGAGTGGATGCATCTTCGAAAGTCACTGAGAACGATTTTGAGCCATATCACTAATTGACCCCAACTAGTCAGGAAGTCTACACTTTCCTAAATGGCCAGCTTAAACTATCTCTTGTGGATTTCATTGACTGATGAAGCCATGTTTTGGCTCGCACACTACTGGCTATCCCTTTTCCAACCTGACCCTATATCAGCTAACAGTGTCCATTTTCGAGGAAGGCGATGGCTAGGCGAGCATACGTAGCACATGTCCCAACCATCTCAGTTGATGTAATTTCACAGCATCGTTGATTGATTTACCCCCTTGTCTAGCACTCGACGCCTAACCTCAATATTGCTCTCCTTACTGTACCACTTCACGCGGGAGAGAGAACGCAAGCACCTGTGATCGAAGACAGCTAATCTTTTCATGTCTTTCGCTCTCAATAGCCAGGTTTCACAGCCTAGAATGCTATAATTTGGAAGCGCCAACTCTGGTGCTTATTAGTTGAATGTATATGATCTTATCGTATTTATTTAATTTAAGTATGTGGAATGTGATCATCACCATTCGCTGGCATCCAGGCACATTTGGCTGATGAGTCCAAGGTGGGACGAAGAGCATTTACTGTTAATTTACTGTTAACCACCTAATAACCTGTGAAACATTTATGTTTAATGCATTCTAGTTTTTTTTATGTACTCTTTGTTTTCTTTTAATTTTCAGCAGAATAAATTGTCTACCCTATCAGTACTCATTATATCTTATCAAATATCTGAAGCTCTAGTGTTTCTACATTCCTCTGGTATTGTTCATTGTGGGATTACTCCGTATGCTGTACACTTATATGCAGTAGATAAAGCGAAATTGGGGAATTTCGAATACGCTCAATATATTGAGTAAGATTATTTCAGTTACTGTTATTATTATTATTACTGAAAGCAACATAGAGGTGTGTCTAATTAGCTTCAGTAACTGACTTTTAGTGAATAGATTCCATGTTCGAATCTTGATTGACTTCTGGGGGAACTTGAACGATCACTCAGTATCATTACGTTAACCTGAACCAACTCTCACTCCATCATGACACTAACGTGTTTGTAAACGTCGGGTTTACAATGCTTCGATGAGCGCAGTCTTGTCCTATGCCTGTGAAACCTGGCCACTCCTAACTTTGCATATTTGATGATCACTGTTGCTTTAGAATCCCTTGAGTTCGTTGATATCATCGTGTGAGTAATTCTGAAATCTGGCAGAGTGTGTTTTGATACAGTGAAAAAGCTTACCGGATTAGTGGGGAGTAACCAAAGTTTCGTTGTTAGAGTCATGTTTGCAGTATAGGTATCATACTAAGAATTTTCATATCATAAAGTGGGAGTTGGTAGTTTCATTCTGCACATCTAAATAAAAACCGTTAACTCTAATGTAACTGACTGGTTTCAGCATAGAACTATGCACAAAAGTATACCCGTTTGAGTTGCCACACTCTATTTAGCACACAATGTAATGTAAGAGAGTAAAGAGGGATTAAAAAGAGGGGGTAATAAACAGAAGTTTGAAGGAGAAAGAACGGTTTATGAAAGAACAATAGAGTTTTATTGGATACGACAAATCATCACAAAGAATGAATGCATCTGAATCACTGAGAGCGATTTTGAGCCATATCAACAGTCATCTCCAGCCTTCACTGATTCTGACTATCCCCAGTGCCCCAATCATTCAGTAACTGCACATCTGCCTACGTGGCTGCCTTAAACTAACTGTTGTGGATTTTATTTACTGACAAAGACATGTTCTCACCCGATCACCACTAACTCTTCTTCAACCTCACCGATCCTATTTTAGCTAACACTGATCATCATGGAAGGCGATGGCTAGGCATGCATGCGTAACACATGTTCTAACCATCTCTCAATCTATCCAGCTGATTCGCATCCTCGTCGACTGATTTTTCTTACTTATCTAGCACTCGACAGTAGCCTAACCTCAATATCGCTCACCCTATTATACCACCTAACCTAACATGGAAGAGAGAACGCAGACACCTATGATCAAAAACAGTTAGCTGGCCTTTTCACCTCTTCTACTTTCCAATGATCATACCTCACAAGCATGGAAGAGGACAGAGTGAACTGCTGAGTAGTACACACTTCCTTTGGTCGATACCTAACTGGATATCACGTCTATTAGGTCAGGGATGGTGTAATTTGGCTGGCAAATGCCAAACGAACCTTGTTTATCCATGCTGAGATTTCCTTAGTGATCAAACCGCTGGCGCCGGTCGATGCAACTTCCCGAATAAGTGAAGTGGTCAGCACTCTCTGCCACCACTTCACTCCTGCCTGCTGTTTAAGCTAGGAATGAGTTGATACATTCCAGCATCATCTTATATGACTTCGATAGGAGCAAACTGAATGGAAAGATTCGAAGATTTCTGCTTTAGGTATTCAGAAGACTCTGTACATTGTCTAACTCTGATTTACTTGGATAACAGCTTATGAATAAAGATTAGGTTTGATAGAGAAGATTTGTAGCTCAGGTGGATAATTTTGATGTGGGTTTGTTCTCTGAGCTGGATGGTTAGTTTGCGAAGCTTTCATCGCCCTACTGGGTGACATCTTCAGCGCAGTTGTTACAGTGAAAAACACTACATTGGCCAAAGTGAACGTCCCCTTCGTCTTCGTATCCACGAACATAAGCTAGCCGTCAAAAGATATGATATACAATCCCTCATTTTACTACACACAGACAACCACGGACATCAATTCGACTGGGACAACGTTCAAATATTAGACAAAGGAAATAACAAGAATGCTAGAGAATTTTTAGAAGACTGGCATTCCAGTGAATCATCAATCGATAGACACATCGAGATAGACAAAATTTATCAACCAATAAGAAAGAAACTTCACACATAAAGGGTCAAAGTTCAAGTCAAAGAAACAACCGGTTCCAATACAAGTAACCTAGAAGGTGTGAAAACACACATAAACAACCAATCACGTCCAAGGTCACCAGGAGAGATGATTAATAAACTCGTGGAGAAATCTAAAAGCTCACTTCAATTGTAATTGAAGTATGCGCTGAAGATGTCACCCAGTAGGGTGATGAAAGCTTCGCAAATTAACCATCCAGCTCAGAGAACACAACCACATCAAAAACACTAAAAGGATGGCTAGTGAAAAATTTGTTCTAAGTCACTGACTTCTTTCTAACTGACTAACTCTGTGTGTGGTAGTGATAAGAGAGATGCACGTTTTTTGTATCACTTTTATGCTTTCAATAGATAGATAGAAAGGTACTAAAATCGAATTTATTCCTCTTTGCATTACAGAAACTATGAAAATAATTCAATCGAAGATCATTACTATTCAGATGATTCAAGTGTCAATAAAACCAAGTTGAATTCTACTTCAAAAGTCCCTCATCTTACATCAGTATTCAATTTAATTCTTGGTGTATATTACCTCCCAGCAAATTGTTTAACTGATTGGTTACCGCCAGAATTATATGACTCTACAAAAGCGATATTTAAATTTCCCAACTGTTTAATGGCACTTCAAACTATTACAATTGATGAATTAAAACAAACAATTAAACCGTGTACAGCTAGTGATGTATTCAGTTTTGGTAAAGTGATTCAGTTTATTTTAATGCAATCACAAAAGAAACAACATGAAATATTTACTGAATGTTATTATAGTAATCCTGGTAATCTATCAACTTTAGTATCTTCAGCTATTAAGCGGAATCCAGATGAACGTCTGCAGATGACACAGTTCAATCGATTACTGATACATTTATTTTGGGTCAGTTTTTGTTTGATATTTTCTGATTGATTTGGTAACTTCCAGTTTTATGGTTGTTTTGTTACTTAACGATATTAGTTAGAGCTAGTTGAACAGTGGACAACTGTTTTGTCCTAGTTTAGGACTTTTAAACATTGAGTACCCATGATGTTTAGGCTACTTACTGACTGAATACGTTGACCGTTCAAGATTTGTCAGTTGGAGTCTAATCACTTACGAATTAAAAATACTATCACCACTGAGCATTAACTTCACAGATGAAGTGGTGGACTCAATAGATGAATGATAACATGCTTACCTTGTTATGTAAAATTCATGGGTCTGGTTCCTGGTATGATCATGCGTGTGCATAGTGTTGATGAGTCCCGGACTAGGACTGATGTCACTTTGTGACCAAAGTTGCATTATTATTAACGGTTTGTTATAATGGGAGAAGACAACAGAATTTACTATTATTATTTATTATTATTATTATTTCCTTTCATTCCTAGAGGAATATACGGAACTGAAAATCCGGATCTTAACTTTGATGCTGAGTGCTGTTAACCTCCACACAGACTTGAGAGTGATGAAAGATTGTCTTGCTTTCCCGATCCTTGCTTTGATATCCCCATCAGTTCCATCCGCCTGTAGTTGAAACAATGCTTCCAAGATAGGTAGCTAGGTGAGGGAGGTTGCTTCTTTCAGGTTCATCCCATTTATGCTGGCCGATTGTTGTCTGTTGTTGTTGTTGCTGTTGGTGTTGGCCAGGAATCTTCATCACCTCTGTCTTCTCTATGTTCACCGGAAGTCCTATCTTTGATGCTTCTTCTGTCAACTTGTTGCTTTTCACTTGAATATCTTCTAGTCTGTGTGAAATCAGCCATTTATCATCGGCGAAGTCCAGATCCTCCAAGTTTTTATGTGAATCCATTTTATGCCTGTTTCCTCATTGCCTTTCTATGTCACACGTTAATGAAGAGTGAAGTTAACCTTCAACGTGTTGTCTTGATAGGTAAAGGAATCCCCACAATTATATTATCCAACCACCGTATCTAGTTAAACAAATTCATTGAAACACTTGAATATCATTTAAGTATAAGAACGCATAAATATCTCAAAAATGACTTTTCTTAGTCGTTTAAATTAATTAATTAATTAAGAGTTGGTAAAATGCGTATTTCTTATTCACAAGAAAAAAATAAGCAATATCACCTTAAAACCGCGTAGTTAATGAGTTCATTGCGGAACAATATCCACATTATACCTTATCATCTATACATCGCAATTAAATAGTGTGAATTCAAGTCCACTTTACGTATTTATGATGGGACGTTTTTATCCTCACAACCCTCTTCACTTCAATTAGTTCTAATTGTAATTGTGTGTTTTTTAAATTTCATTCCTATGCTATTTTGAAAGGTTTGCCGCGTTGCGTTTGTTATTATTATTATTATTATTGCCATTGACAACAACAGAATGTAGATTTAAACAAACAACTAACTATTCATTAATTCCTGTTATCACGAGTAAATATGACAGTTGAATGACGTAATGCTAGAGGGTGGATTTTGCAGTAGGTGAATGAGTGGAATAGCATGGATAATTGAACAAAGAAGTATAAGTTTAATGCTTATACTACTTTCTTTTTGTTCACTGGTAGTTTGTGTGTGTGTGTGCACGTGTGTGTTAGTGGTGTAGAGCATTGTCTCTATACAAGTGCAAACAATAGTGTTGTTCTCTTTGCATGTAGAGTCTTACCATGTATTTTTATTATCTTGTCTGAGTAGTATTGGCGCCAAGACTTTTAATAAAAACAGGCTGACGAGTGAGTTCCCCTTCTTTCTTTCTGTATTAAAAAACATTTGTCAAAAAGAGGAAATGAGACAGTTTGGGAGGGACAGAAGAATATGGTAGAAAATGATAGACATGCATGATGGTAGAGCCAGTCAAATAGACAGGAAATGACAGAGAAAAAATAACTAGTGTATCAGTTTTGAGCATGGAAAGGTCTTCTATTGAAAACATCTTAGTTTTTTTCACGTTGATTGATTGGACCCAAAAATTCTGCCTTTTTTGAGACTTTGACGACTTCTGAAGGTCGATGTGATGTTGTTTGGTGGATAATGATTACCACTGGGATCAGAATTATGCACTTCATTCTGTTTTGGACTCGTCAGCTGGATATATACCTGCATTCTCCCCAGTCAGTAGTGATGTTCTCACTGAGACTCGAATCCTGTATCCACCAAATGTCATCAAACGTCAAAGCGTTATCTATTAGACTACTAGACCACGAAATCCACCTCTTGTAGAATAGTATCGTGGCGTGTGTTACTGATATGATTTATAAGTAGTATATAGACACATGCAAATATCTAGATGGTCTGTAAGAATATAGATAATGGATTTAATGGTCAAGAGAAGAAGTGAACATTGAATGAATGAATGAAAGGAAGGAAGGTGCAAAAGTAGAATACCGAAGATGTGTTCAAGTTGTGATTGTAAAATGTGGTTGATGTACTCTGCCTATATATATATATATATATATGTGCGTCAGTGGCACAGCGGTTAGGATGCTTGTAGACGATACACATGATCCAGAGTTCGATTCCCGGCCACAGAGGCACTCCTTTACCTCGCTAAGCCAGAAATAATCCTGGTAAAGAGGAAAGGTTGGGCATGGGGCTGGCAACCCCATCCTATAAAAATAAACACCGTTACAGAACTTGAAGCCCTATGTTCCACTGGGGACGTGAAAGGAATATATATATATATGTATCGATTAGCCAATAAATGTTTCAGTTGCCATACATTCGTGTCTCCCGTCGCTACAGTATTAGTTATTATTTCTTCAAGTCGATTAATTGGAATTAAATGTTCAGTCTCTGGGTTCGAGTCTTAGCGGGAACATTATCACTCACTCTCTGAGGATTACTGGTACATCCAGTTGACAAGTCCCGAAAAGGTCGAAGTGAACACCCTGCTCTTCATCATTTTAATAAGGCAAAAGCATAATAATACATGTGTATAATTTGGGCACTCTGGTTGCAAGTAATTCTATATTGGTTTGTTTATTAGATGTATTACACAATGAGTGAAACAGTAATATTTTCTGGATGACACAGTTTCGAACAAAATTTATAGTTCATAATCATGTCATTAATTGTAATCACACGACTTCGAAATTTGAGTTTTATAGTTTTCTTTGTCCTCTCCTGTTTGTCGTTGGGGTAGTAGAATTTTCCAGATGTCCGATCGGATAGGTGTTGAATCATTCCTATTACATGTATCTGCAGTTGATTCGATAAACAAAGCTTCTGTTATCAATCTATCACTCCACCCTGCTGTTACATTAGATTTCAAAACTGTCATTTTATCTCTTCCTAAGAATAAGGAATCTAAATCATCAGTAGTAGTTCCATGCAAGGAAGGAACCTCAGAAACCTTACGCAGAATTCTTGACAAGACAGGAATAAAAGTGGCTAGCATTCAAACCAACCACAAACTCAATTAGGAACAAGCTTTGTCAGTTAAAGGCTAAATCCTGTGAAGCCATTCAAACAAAACAATTTAGTTACTTTAATATCCTGCAATGGTTTTCAGGTAAAAGTGGCAGAACTGGGTCAGTGAGTCAGACTAGCCGAACATGAAAACCTAGAAAAATCTAGATTGTTTGACCCGAATAAGATCAGAAATCTGAAGAATAGTTCATGCAATTACATACAACCATACAATAGGCTAGATGGTATAGGATGACAGTTTTAAAATCTAATGTAACACAAGGGTGGAGGGAGAGATTGATAACGGAAGTTTTATTTGTCAAATCAACTGCAAACACCTATCATAGGAATGATTGAAAATCTCTCTAGTTGGACATCTGGAATATTCTACTGCCCCAACGACAAATGTGAGAGAATAAAGAAAACTATAAAACTGAAGTCGTGTGATTATAATTAATGATATGATTATGAAGAATAAATAGTGTTCAAAACTTCGTCATCCAGTAAATAATATTTTTTCACTCACTGTGGTACATCTAATAAATAAACTAATAACACAAGCATAGTTTTAGTAGAATAAAATGATGTATTAGATAATTGGAGGTAATTGACCACAAGAAGCCTTGGACCTAGGTTTTGTGCTAGTTGGCACTCATCAGCAAGGCGTATCTGCGACCTTGAAGGAACTCATATCCCTTCTGAGATTCGAACCCTCGTGAGAGACGATTGGACTTAAAAGTGTTCAGTCTCTGGGTTCGAGTCTTAGCGGGAACATTATCACTCATTAACTGAGGATTATGTGTACATCCAGGTGACAAATTCCAAATAGGTCGAAGTAAACACACTGCTCGTCATCATTTTAATAAGGCAAGAACATATTAATACATGTGTAAAACTTGGGCACTGTGGTAGTGAGTAATTCCATATTAGTTTGTTTATTAGATGTATCACACAGTGGGTGAAACAGTATTACTGTTTACTGGATGATACAGTTTTAAACAAAATTTATTTTTTATAACCATATCATCAGTTATAATCACACGATTTCGAGGCTTCATTATTGATAAGATTTTATTTTGATAAATCACACAGTGTGTCGTACAGTAATATTAACTGATGACTGTGTTTCGAACACAAACTATCGCCTGTCGTAATCATATCAAGTTACTCACACAACTTCCCTTTCTTCATTTATATACATGTGTGGAATTGACTAGATATTGGAATAAAAGTCAATATGTGATAATGTACATTCAGAAATAATAATAATAATATGAGTGTTATTGATCAATTACAATTAGATGGAAAATAAGACGAGTGTTTTCATAGTCATAACATCACAACAGAATTAGTGAACAGTGCTCAGGAAAGCACGCTTTGATATAGTTTTTACACAGTCAGCTCAAGTTTAAACAAAATAAATGTTTGTATGCATACAATGGAAAATGGAGTTACGTAATAAGGATAAGAGGCACGTAAGATGACGAGTAACTACTAAATTTGGTAACAATCTACTGAGTTCAACTCAAATCATGGAAACACGAGACAACCAAAATTACACTCTATCAAAAAAGGGGGGGTGAGGTTAAAGACAAAGATTACGTAATCGAACGAAATAGAGAACAAAGACATCCAGTTACCAGGATGGGCAGAGGAAGACTGACTAATAACTGCTTCTTTCTGAACACATAAATCTGGTTTCAAGCGTTTGATAGAAAGTGCTTCAACAAACTTGAGGAGAATCGAGCTCATTTGTCAATTGACAATTTTAAAGGCGTTCGCGATTTTCACCTCATGACCTGTATCGAGGAGATGTCTGGTAATAGCGCGATTATAAAAGTTTGTTCCCTTGACATGTAGGCTTAATAAATAATAACAAAGTGAGGCAACTCGGTGCACAGTTAAATTATGAGTAACAAAGTTTTACTTTTTTGTGTTAACCAAACTACAAAAAGGTCCTACAATCGAAAAATAGTTATTGTTATTCTAATATTCTTTTTACAGATAGAATATGATCAAGAAAAGTCGCCAAAGCCAAAACCAGCTTTATATAACAGTATGCCACCATGCCCATTAAGATTATGCGATCATCAATGCAGACCAAGATATTTTGATCCCGTTCCACTTGTATATGCTAAAAATTCAACTGGGAGTAAATCTCGTCTAAGAACTATTTCCCCTATCGACTATCAGGTATGTTCAATGCGGGGTAATAAATGCTTCTTTTTTTAAGTTCTGGTTTTTTTGACTTTTGACAGGAAGGTGGACAAAAAGTTGAAGAGGTTGATCTCTTTCTTTTTTTTCTGTTATCATCTTTCCATTCAATCGCCCTCAACTGTAATATTCATCTTTTCAGCATCACGCTGATTTCTTAATGTCCATATAGATCCGATTTTCAGTATGTAATTTTATCATCATTCTATTTCACAGGTTATCATTATCATTATTATTTCCTTTAATTCCTAGAGGAGCATAGAGATTCAGCCTAACGCTTCCATTGCGTTCGATTCTCCGTTAAAGTTTTCACCTGGCTCCAAGTCTGCCCACATGCTTCCATCTTCTCATCACACCACCTCCTTTAAGTCCCCCTTGGACGACCAACTCGCCGCTTCCCATTCAGTCGGGTTCCACTCGAGCGATGGCTTGTATAGTGATGTCACTCGACGGTTTCCTCAGAGTACGAACAACCGGTCCACCTCCATTTCTTCCTGTTTATTTGTTGCACAGTTGGTTCTTGCTGGGTTGGGTTGGTTCGATCATTGCCAGAGATCCCTGTTGCTGATCTTTTCTGGCCAGCCATCTGATCTTGAGTATTGAGCGAAGACACCTGTTGATGAAGGTCTGTAGTTTGTTTGAGGTGCTCTTTATGACTCACCAAGTCTCTGATTCGTATAGCGAGTAGCACTGACTTCACATTGGAGTTGAAAATCCGGATGTTATTTTTGCCGCTGAGTGCTGAGGGTTGACCTCCACACAGACTTGAAAGTGATGAAAGCTTGTCTTGCTTTTCCGATCCGTGCTTTGATATCTTCATCACTTCCGTCCGTCTATAGTTGAAACGATGTTTCCTAGGTAGGTAGATAAAGGAGGTTGTTTCTTTCAGGTTCCTCACATTTATGTTGGCCGATTGCTGTTTGTTGTTGTTGCCTGGGTATCTTCATCATCTCTGTTTTCTCTATGTTCACCTGAAGGCCTATGTTCTCTGGATGCTTCTTCTGACAACTTGTTGTTTTTCACTTGCATACCTTCCAGTTTGTATGAAATCAGACATATGTCGCATTGGCGAAGTCCAGATCCTCCAAGTTTTTTGTCTGTGTCCATTTTATGCCTGTTTCCTCATTGTCCGCTGTCTGTCGCATTATCCAATCTACCCCAATCAGGAAAATCATTGGATTGTATGTGTATGACTAATCAGTGTAATTCAAGTAATGCGGTTACCAAGGGGGAGTAAGAGATTGACTACATACTATCTGTCTCTGTGTGCACATGTTTGAACTGAGACGTTTGATTGCAATTGCTTCAGCAGTAAATCGCAGTAGATTCCCTATCCTTTGTATGTTTAATATTTTGAAGGACTAAGAAATTTCGACGAAATGACGCGTATCGACAGCCTGAGTATCTGGTGATTGTACTTTGCGTATATCTGTTTTATTTCAGGCATAAGTTTCTTGGGACACGCTCTCTCACTCGCCTAGTAACTGCATTTTGATTACATTGATTAGTCATTATTCATACTAGTGAGTTCAGCTCACTAAGGAAGTTTCCAATTTCACGAACTATAACCTTCTTGAGTTGCTATATAAACCTACATGCTAACACTGTTTACTAGATTTTTTTCATTTTTCTGTCTTCTCTTGTCACCACCGTCATTTTCTATTTTGAAAGGCATATAAACTGATGGTAACTTGAACTAAACAGTACTGTAATACTTATATTCTGATGCGTTCATCCTATAGTATTTTCTCTATTACCTTTCAAATTCTCCAGTATGTTATTGTCACCGAAAAATACCCATTGAGTCATGAAGAAGATAAAAGACAAATTCAGTGAAGAAAATTCTCCTTATCGACGAAATCATCCTCACAGGCTGTACATTCGTATATATAGTCACCGAAAATGTATAATGGTCTATTATTGAGTAATAAGCTGCTACCTTGACGTGGTGGTCGGGCTTGAACACCGCAATGATCTATTCAAGCTATACTGGCTGAGACTTATGTCTCTTGAGGTTCTACCATGCCAGGCAGTTTGTTTGGATAGCGGTTAAACAAAAAGCAGCTACCCAATCCAACATCATGACCAATACAAAATCACAAAATTTCATGCCGGATCGGCCGTGGCCCGGATTAACAACGACCGCGCTTCCTGCTGCCGTGTCACAGGGCAGGAGTGATAAGTATGCCACTGAGTCACACCAAACAAAAGAGAACGAACAAAAACAGGCCGCGTGTGACACCGGCCCCAAGCAGTTGTCCCCTGGGCTCTGCGGTCACGCAACCAACTTCCACGGTGTGGGCAGCCGGGATGTAACAATCGCCCTCACAATCCGAAACGCACGCGAAACCTCTCTATTACTCACTCATCTTTGTTTTCATCTTCATCTCTATCATCTTGCCTTCCTTCCACTGATGCAACTCCTCGACTTGATAAAGCTGTCTAGTTTGGTGCAAAAGGCTAAACGCTCAGACATAGTCGCTCTAGCTGGTGACTTTAACGCTCAAGTAGGGAAATTGTGTCAATCTGAGAAGGATGTCGGTGGCACCTACGGAGTTCCGTGCCAGCGAACCGACAACGGTGACCGTCTCCTACAGTTCTGTTCTGATAATCATTTGTTTCTTGTGAGCACTAACTTCAAACACAAGGAGAGACACTGTTTGACTTGGAGACCCCCTTCATCAAACCAACGCTGGACACAAATAGACCACATAGCAATAAGCTATCGTTGGCGTGGGTCGATAGGAGATTGTCGCTCCTTCTGGAACACGTGTGTAGATACCGACCATGCACTAGTCCGAGCTCGGGTGTGCTTGCGGCTGAACGGACGTAGGAAACAGCTGGCGGTAAAACCATCACGTCCCCAGCTCGATCAGGAAACTAAATCCGTATTTGAGGAAGAACTAGCTAAACACATATCTTTACAGGACTGGACTACATCGACGCCTAGTTTAAAAATAGGAAGTGAAGTGGTAGAGCACATTGACCGCTTCACTTATTTGGGAAGTACTATCAGCCAACGCCAACGGGCTGATCTCTGACGAAATCTCAGCACGAATACAAGGGGCTCGTTTCGCATTTTCCAGTTTACGCCGACTCTGGCGTAGACGAGATGTTCGACTATCGACCAAAGGGCGGGTGTACTGCTCATCAGTCCGCTCCGTCCTCCTTTATGGTTGTGAGACCTGGCCACTGAGAGTGGAAGACATGAAAAGACTAGCTGTCTTTGATCATAGGTGTCTGCGCTCTATTTCCCGTGTATAGTGGCATAATAAGGTGAGCAACATTGAGGTTAGGCGTAGAGTTCTAGGTAAACAGGGGAAATCAATCGACGAAGTCGTGAAGCTACAAAGACTGAGATGGTTAGGACATGTGTTACGTATGCCAAGCCATCGCCTCCCTCGACGAGCAATGTTAGCGGATATAGGGTCAGGCTGGAAAAAAGCTAGCGGCGGTCAAACAAAAACTTGGCCTCATCAGTCAATGAAATCCACAACAGTTGGTCTAAGCCACGTAGGAAGGTGTAGACTTCCTGACTGGTTGGGGTCCTCGGGACGGTAAAAATCTATGGTTGGAAACAATTGGTGACATGGCTCAAAATCGTTCTCAATGGCTAGCGAAGATGCATCAACTCCTTGTGACTTATGATCTCCAATGAAACTGTTTTGTATTTCTTTATTACTCCTTTGTCTCACACCTCTGCTCACTGTTTCTATTATGCTTTTCTTGTACTTTCTTCTCTTGCTTCGCGTGCTACACGGAGTGTGGCGACTTGAACTTCCGCACATTTGTGCAAAGTTCTATGTCGAAAACAGACAGACAGAATAGGGGGGTGATATAATTGATATAATTACTCAGGAGTGTCCTTAGAAGTAAAAATAAAAGTTATAAACTACGTAGTGCTCAACGGCACAAAGGAAGAAAGCGTTTGATAACGTGAAAATTGTTATTGAGTGAGAAGGTAGATAATTGAGTGTCAGTTTTACAAGTGTGAAGAGGGTGTGAACATTTACAAAAGGGAACATATGAGAGTGATAATAGTGAATTAATTATTAAAGTAAAAGCGAACTAAAAGTAAATTGAAAATTAAAAATAAATTTTTCTCCAGGGAACGACTGATGAAGAAGTTAAGACCATGGTAGAATAAGAGACTGGAGAAACTTTTTTTCTATATAGAGTTAGGGGTTATAGTGACGAATCGCCAACGCTTCCGCCATACACAAATGCAGAAACCTAACACCCTTTGTACCATTCAGCCACACCTTGTAGATGATCTTGAAAGACGACTCTGGTGGAGCTGTATGGCTTGACTTCAACAAGGGATAGCGAATTAAGCTAGTAACTGTCTTGCATTGTCCTTTCGCCGAAAATACCGGATAATGTCCAGAGATGCGTTTGGAAAATGGGCACCAAGTTGTGCTGTAAATATACCTAGCTCTACAGGAGCAGGTGAATGTATTGATACACACTGAAGTGGCTCAAAATGGCAGTTCATCCTTCACACATCCATTGACCATTTGTCAGATTTAGAAATTGATGCGTAGCTCAGCGTCAAAGAAGGCTTCTCTCAGTGATCCGGATAATTGATTCTTCAGGATCTCAGCTGTGGTATAACCTTTAAATTCGACTCTGCATCGTCTGGGTTCTTCCAGGCTTTTGCATTAACTTCATATTTTTTCTCGAAAATCTCGGAGGATATTCGACCAAGTTAAGCTTTAAGCACCATTAGAGTGTGATCGCACCAATGACCTTGAAACGCTCACTGAGCAAGTTAGCGAAACCTGGCAAATAATGCTGTCATCATCAATGAAATATGATTATCAAAGTGTTATGCTTTTAAATGGAATATCTGGCAAGTTCCAGCTTAGGTTTGGGAAAGATTAAGTTAGGCTTTAAGCCAAGGATAAGTTAGGGTTAGGTTAACCTAACAAAGGCGACAGTAGGTTTGGTTTGAGTTAGATTACAGTTAGTTTAGGAAT